TCTGGGTCATTGAGATAATCAAGGACTTATTTCATGATTACGGATTACTATGCAACTATGTAGTTGAACCTGAACGAGCGGTGCTGCTTGGGCCACAGGAATAGGATGAGTAATTTTTTAAAAAAGAATCTTGAAACATGATGCATAGACACAGATGTTCATTATAGTCACACCTAGAAGGATGTGCATAAAAAATTAAAAAGAGGTCTTATAGGAGGCCCTTGAAATCACATAAAGAATTCTAAACAGGTCTGGAAATAGATATCCTATTATTAATAGTACATTTAACCCTATAGCCAACCTGAAAATCTCCAAGCTTTATAAAACCAGACATATTTTCTTTCTTCTTAATGCATTGGATAGACATATACCATGTTTCCCCAAAAATAAGACCTAATCGGAAAATAAGACTTAGCATGATTTTTCAGGATGCTCGTAATATAAACCCTACCCCAAAAATAAGCCCCCGTTAAGATCGTCAGCCAGGCGGACGCATTTAGTATCATTTTTTTTTATTTGATTTATATGCCGCCCTTCTCCGGAGACTCAGGGTGGCTTACAATGTGCTCAGCAATAGCCTTCATCCTTTTTTTATATTTATACGAAGTCAGCTTATTGCCCCCACAACTGGGTCCTCAATTTACCTACCTTAGAAAGGATGGAAGGCTGAGTCAACCTTGAGCCTTGACGAGATTCGAACCTGCAGTAATTGCAGGCAGCTGGTCTTAATAACCAGCTTAATAACAGGGTGCCTTAGACCATTGTACTACCAAGGCTCTTCCCCCCAAAATAACGCTTAACCGGAAAATAAGCCTTAATGCATCTTTTGGAGCAACAATTAATATAAGACCCAGTCTTATTTTTGGGGAAACACGGTAGGTAGTCCCTGACTTACGACCACAACTGAAACAAAAAAAAAACATTTAAGTAATGCAGTTGTTAACTGAGGCATTACACCCAATTTTGTGATCTTTTTTTGCCATGGTTGTTAAGTGAATTACCATGGTTGTTAAGTGAGACATTACAGAACCGTCACTTGCAATCTTCCCTGCCATCTTCCCCATTGACTTTGTTTGTCAGGAGCTGGCCGGGAAGTTGCAAATGGCAGTCACATGACCACCAGATGTTGCAATCATTGTAAATATGAGCTGGTTCCAAAAGCCTAGATTCTGATCATGTGATCGTGGGAATGCTGGAATAATCGCATGTTGGATTTACAGTTGTAAATCACTTTTCTTAGCATCATCATAACTTCAAGAAATTGCTGTAGAACAGGGATGTCAAACTGAGGGACATATCAGGGTTGTTTTTGACCTCGGGGGGGTGGGGGGGCATGGCCAGCTCGACATCACTCATGTAGCCCGAGTGCTCTGCCAATGAAAATGGGCTCCCAAGCTCCGTTTTTGGCTGCAACAGCCTCCTGCAACCCTCTGCCAGTGAAAATGGAGTTCGGGAGGGCCGCACACAGTCCTCTCGAGCTCCATTTTTGCTGAGAGAGGCACCACAGGCCAGTCCTTCGCTGTTTCCAGGGTGGCCCCACAGGCCAGATCTAAGCACCCTGTGGGCCAGATCCAGCCCGCGGGCCTTGAGTTGACACCCCTGCTGTAGAATGATCCTTAAGTCAAGGATTACCTGTAATGTGTATATTGAATTAATGAAACAGGTACATTAAAATGTTGCTTAAGTGATTCGCTTGGAGAAGAATCTGTAAGTAGGATTTTTGCAACCACTTAATTGGGGTGAGAGTAATTTGGAATATTTTTGACCAGCAGTATTATAGAAAATGATGCAAGGTCATTATAAGGTATTCAATTTTCATCCTTTTCTGATCTCTAACATGCCTCAGGGTTGCTGTACAGTTCAGCCCTTATGCACACTACAAAGTGATATATTCTGAGATTCAGACCGATCCTGAACTTGCAATATGGATCTAAGCCTGTTATTGAGCAACATTTCAAGATTATTTCAATCTACTAAGAGACTGACTGAGAATACGAAGCATGAACTGATCTACTGTTATCTTTTCCAGATGCTGCTTCTTCCAACCTATCATGGGAAGAAGTATTTATTTTTTTAAAAGTGCTTTTTTATTCAATAAAACCTGGATTACAAAAAAAGCTATTTTTTTTCTCCATTTATATACAGTAAGTGGATATATTGCAGAGAAGCATAGTGTAAATTGCTAACTGGCTATAAGAATGGAAGTAGAGGTGGCGTTTATTCTGATCCACCTGCAAGAAAACAGGATGGTTTATCTTGCATCTAAATCGATATAATTCTGGGAGTGCCCAATAATACCATGTGGAAACTGAGCTGAACTTTTATTATGAAAGTTTTGTAATGTACAGGCAATATGCAAGTATCACTTGCGGTCTCAGGTAGATATTGGAAATGGCTAATAATTAAGCTCTTGCCCATCACAACCTTAACAAGTTTAGCCAGTTATGTTTACTTAGAAGTATGGTTGATTGCTCTGTCCATATCTGTCTTTTCCTCAATCCCAGTTTATTAAGTGGGATTTATTTAAATAATTAAAGCAGAAAACAAAAACAAATTAGCCAAGTCCATTTGAGCTTAGCGTATGGCTCAAAACCAGTCTATTATTTACGTTTCCACGTGTGTTGCAAACTCAGGAAATTGAGTTGCACCAATGACTGTCAAAGATTTTATTTAAAGTCTGTCAAAGATGTTGTTATAAGCCATCAACAACCCTCTAAACAGTTGTGTTCATACAACATCCCAAATCAGGTTATGTCAAGGCCTAATAGCTACATTCACACAACCTGCTAAAACTTGGTTAGTTTTTACTATGTAAGGGATTTTCTTTTTTTCAGTGATTTCATGTATCATGACACCTTAGCTGTTTTGGTAAATTCAGGTTCTATAATCCCAGAAAATGACTTAATTCAGGATCTAGGTTAACAAAATCACATGAACACAATCAGTTTTTTGCTTTTGTCCAATCTGGACCAGATTGAGTTAGGGGCAACATGCAAATAATGCTTGTACATTATAAACCCCTCAGAAAGTGCTGTGAAGCCCTATGGAGCTGTATATAACTTAAATGCTATTGCTATTTTAGTTGCTGCAGTTGAAGCCTTCTCTCTTACTTAAAAATAGGGCTTTTAAAGTAAGGTCTCCCTTGAATTGAGCTTGTTTGTTGCTGATTCCAGAGCCAGTTTTCCATGACATGAAATGGAAATAGGAAATAGTCTGTTACACCTTCAACGCTAAGGGTTTAATTAAGAATTCTACATAGAGATAAGATAATCTTTATCATCATTTTTTTTTCTGAGAGCACACTGGCACACATTAAAAATGAAATTCTGTTGCCTGCTCTGAAAAGAAAGAATATACCCATACCCAACACACTACACATGCTATATACACACATATATGCATCCTTCTAAATATATATATAATCCTTCTAAAAATGAAATTTTGTGTATGAAACAAAACTGTGACTGAATCTGGATGTTCTGCTTCGGATAACCACAAAGCCTCCTCCCAGAAGGTAACAAGGAAAACATGTCCTGAAGAAGATATGTAGCATCCCTGACAATCTGAAGAGTGGGAGACCACCAGGTGATCCACCAGATGATCCTGCGGATCACCTGGTGGTCTTCCACTATTCAGACGCAAGGTCAGCCCCAGCTTTTTAAGAGCAACGAAGTTTGCAGGAGGGAGGCTCTCTACCTGGGTAAGAAAAAGGGCGCAGAACCATAACCTCCAGGAGCATTCCCTCTCTCACTTCTTTCGAAAAGTGAATTGGGGGGGATGAAAATTTTGCTAGGATAGTTATCTATTCCCTCAACACTCAGAATTAACCAAGTCCACATTGTGTCAGTGACACCACATTGTAACGCAGTGACTCAGCGGCTGATCGATAGGTCGGCAGTTCAGCGGTTCGAATCCTTAGTGCTGCGTAATGGGGTGAGCTCCCGTTACTTGCCCCAGCTTCTGCTAACCTAGCAGTTCGAAAGCACGTAAACAAAATGCAAGTAGAAAAATAGGGACCACTGTTGGTGGGAAGGTACCACCATGTGCCTTTGGCGTTTAGTCATGCCAGCCACATGACCACGGAGATGTTTCCGGACAGCGCTGGCTCTTCGGCTTTGAACGGAGATGAGCACCGCTCCCTAGAGTCGGGAATGACTTGCACATATGTGCTAGCTAGGGGAACCTTTACCTTTGTTTTAGTTATAATAAGATCTGCATTTACAAGCTATTCTGCTTCAAGAAATACAAGAAAATAACAGGAGGGAAAATGGACAGCTATGCACATGTCCAGATTCACATTTTTATTTTATTTTATTATTTATTTGTTTGTTTGTTTGTTTGTTTTGTTTTATTATTTATTTATTTGTCAAGCATATATAAGATAACAGGTAAAAGTATAAACATAATTTGAATACATGAAAAGAGTAAGAGTAAAAAAGGAATATTAGGACAGGGACGGTAGGCATTTATGCACATCATCCCGAGTTGCCCCTAAAAAAAAAAAAAAAAACCAAACCCACCCATCCACACATACAAAAAACCCTTTACTCGAAGTTAACCCGAGCGCGTTTCGCTCGCTTTGCCCAAGGCAGGTTCCACTCAGGTAAAGCGCAGGCGAAGGCGCCGTGCGAATAGGCCGAGAGTCCCTTCCCTGCGACTGGCGGCAATTAACCCGAGATAACCTTCTCCCGCCTGTGGAGAGGCAGGGAGGCAGGAATTTGGGGGCGAAGCCTGGACTAAGGGTTACCCAGTCACGGGCGTCGGGTGACGTCCATTCGGGGGCCTATTTTGTGTTCCCCCCCCCACCTCACGCCCGCCGGAGTTGTGGTTGTGGTTAACAACAGCTTCGGTGAGAAACGCTGGAAAGGAGAAGGCCAGCGGTCTCCGGAACTGCGAAGGCGCGGGAAGGTGGGCGCAAAAAGCCGCCCTCGCCACAGCCTCGGAAAGGGGCGGGCGTGCGGGCGGACGGACGGGCGGCGCCGGACCAACGCGCCTGCCTTTCCCCCTTTTCCCGCCCTGCCGCCACCTGCAGCTCCGGCTTCCTCCGCCTGGCGTAACTAAGTCTTGCCATACCTGGCGAGGCCACGTCAGGGGCTCCCGCTCCTTGTGTTCCCGCCACGGCCGGCCGCTCGGATCCTTCCGCACCATGATCTCCGCTCGAGGCGGGGGCTCCATGCCTCCGCCACCCAACGCCACTGCCTATTACCCCCCGCCACGCGTGAATCTCCCCTCCGGCGTGGAAATCCTGCGCACTTACTCGGGGGCCTTCATCTGCTTGGAGATCGTGAGTGCCGAGGGAGGGGCGGGAGGAGGAAGGAGAGGAGGGAAGGAACCGTGGGCGGCGGAGGGGCAACAGGTGGGACAGGCTCTTCCCGGCCAGGATCGTGGGAGGGGAGGGTCGTCTCTTATTTTTCCCTTGGTCTAGGAGCGCCCTTGCTTGCTTGCTTTGTTTTCGGCCGAGTCCCCTTTAATAGAAAATCAAAGCGATCGACTGGGTAGAAGGACTGGATCTGGTAGGTAGCTGGGCAGATCAAGAAAAGTTGACTTCCGCGATGGGGGGAAAAAAACACAACACCTTTGACTACGCACAGATCCGTCTTGCAGCCCGATGCTGGGAAGCAGATACACCTGTTGGATTCTGCACCTTGCATACAGCTGTCAGACGCTCAGGAGAGGGGAAAAAAACAGCCGCCTGTCCCAACTTCTGGCGACGTCAGCCTCAAGCTCCAGCTTTTCCCCGCTCCTATTTATGTTGCATATTTTCCCCCAAGGCCTTCACTGTAGAATATTCCAATTTTTTTTCCCCTGTTGTTTTCCTGGTGGGCTGCTGCATTTCTCAAAGCAGAATAGCTGGTAGATGCAGATCTTATTATAACTAGGACTGCCTAATAGGTTAAGCTAAGATAAAATGGGGAGGGGCTTCCCCTCTTAGTCTAGGATATTGTGAGCACCCGAATGTTTTCTTAGCATATGGTGTGAATGTTAAGGCCTAACACGGTTTATTGATTTGACCGTGGGGTGTGAGGGGAACACAGGAAATGAACTCGTTTTTGGAATTCAGATTATTGTGGGGATCTGCTTCAGTGGCGTATCCTTTTTTAGTCATTTGTGCGTTAGACCTTTGCCTTCCACTTTGGTTCTCCCTTATCCATTTAGCTAAAAGCTTCCTGCTCTCTCATTTAATTATAAATCTGTTGGGTGGGTAGTAATTTAGCCCAGTTTTATGTAACTAGCTTTCTAGAATCTCAAGTGGAGATCTCTTCCTGCCTTTATACCTGAGGAAATTTATCTCTAGAAGTCAAGATGGGACAAAATACCCGCAGAGCATCTCCTCTTCAGTTGTACTTCTTATTTAGCTTTTTTTTTAAAACATCACCACACCCTTTTCTTTCAAGATCAGCTTGTTTTTGTTTCCAAACAGCACAAAAAGTGTTGTGATGATGACAACTGATTACATGCCACTAAAGTCAGTTCAGAGGCATGATTTGTCATCACTTCTCTCTAATAAGGTTCCTAAAATTCCTGTAACATTTTTATGATGCACACAAGTCTCAGACTGAGTGATTTCCTTGTTAGGGAGAGGACAGCATTTAAAAGAAAGAACATCTAGAAAGAGTGCAGAGAAGAGCAACAAAGATGATTAGGGGACTGGAAGCTAAAACATATGAAGAACGATTGCAGGAACTGGGTATGTCTAGTTTAATGAAAAGAAGGACTAGGGGGAACACGATAGCAGTCTTCCAATATCTAAGGGGTTGCCACAAAGAAGAAGGGGTCAAGCTATTCTTCAAAGCACCTGAAGACAAAACAAGAAGCAATAGATGGAAACTAACCAAGGAGAGAACCAACCTAAAACTAAAGAGAAATTTCCTGACAGTTAGAACAATTTATCAGTGGCACAACTTGCCTCCAGAAGTTGTGAATGTTCCAACACTGGAAGTTTTTAAGAAGAGGTTGGACAATCATTTGTCTGAAATGGTACAGGGTTTCCTGCCTGAGCAGGGGGTGGGACTAGAAGATCTGCAAGATCCCTTCCAACTCTGTTAATTCTGTTCTATTTGCTGGATTTTCATCTCCCATATTGCCAATAAACCAAAAGATCCTTTCTAGAAACCAAGCTGGCAATGTTTTCCGATAGTCTAATCTCTATTTCTCCTACACCTTTCTCGAGCACACCTATGTTGTTGAAACTGCACTCTGTTATTACTCCTCCAACCACTTCCTGCCTGCCTGCTCGGTATCTGAATGTCATTCTTCCTGCTGTTCTTTGCAGAGACAGGATCAGGGTGCACTAAGGATAGGTAACAGAGAAGTCCCAAGACACACCTGAATGCCCCCTTAGCAGCCCAATTATCAGAGAGAAAAGTCCCATCTCATCACCAGCTCATTTTAGGGATTGGCTTCACCCTCTTCTGACTTTGTCTTCACTGACAGGTGAGATTAAAGGGATGTCATAATGCCTAGCTCACCTATTATATGATACCATGATTTGTTTAATCATGATTTAGTACAGGGAAGATCAATATGGTCTGCACAGGGCCTCCAGCATCTGGACATAATGTCACATGAGTTCAACAGCAGAGAGGCCAAATTTCTCCTTCTCCAAAAAATTCAAAATTACTCCCTTCTCCCCAAAAAATTACTAATTACTTTTTGGGGATGGGAGTCATCAAAACATTTGTCATAAATGTGAAAAAGACGTCTTCAGGTGGTTAAAGGAAGCTTGCCTCCTGCTCTTAAAGCTCTCCAGGAAAACCCTACAACAGATTGTCTCATCCCTTTCCACAGGGGTGCTATTCAGCAGGTTCTGACAGGTTCTGGAGAACCGGTAACGGAAATTTCGAGTAGTTTGGAGAACCGGCAAATACCACCTCTGGGTGGCCCCAGAGTGGGGTCAGAATGGAGATTTTGCAATATCCTTCCCCCAGGAGTGGGGAGGGAATGGGAATGGGGATTTTGCAATATCCTTCCCCTGGAGTGGGGTGGGAATGGAGATTTTGCAGTATCCTTCCCCTGCCATGCCCACCAAGCCACACCATGCCCATCAAGCCATGCCCACAGAACCAGTCGTAAAAAAATTTGAATTCCACCACTGCCTTTCCATGACATCACACAGCATCATTGGGTGGCCTTCTACAGCCATCTGGACATTGCAGAGACTCCTAACCAGAGTCTTTTGCCAATATGTTGACAAGGGACTCTTTAGTCACAGACAATCAATAGGGAAGACAAAGCACCAAAAGTTTTTTATTTGGTGATGAAGGAGATAAGCAGTCTGACCCCGAAGGAGGGAATCAAACGCTTCATCAGTCTCAAGTCTTTATTGTCCATAAGAGATCTAAGTCTGGCCCACCTTGAATTCCATTGACTCTTATCTACCACCAATTTACTTGGACCGTTAGTGGTTCAGATTCTTGTATAGAGTTTTAGCATGCAACAAACCTGTATCTGAACCACCTTGGTTCTTTCCTGCATTTAACAGGTGGTCTGAAAAACAACGATATCCTGTTTCTCTCGCTTACTCTTTCCTGGAACCAAATTAGTGTAGGAAAGTAAGAGTGATTAATGCAGCTAGATAGCAGTGTACAAAGCTAACATCTCACAGGTCCTACTCAAACATTGTTCTACTTGTCATTGCTTACACAGGATAAAACTTTGAAACAACTCTTGAAACATCTTCTTTGTTACTCTATCCCTGAAGGCATGACTAAATTGCTGGGAGCAGTTCCTTGGTGCTCTTCTCCACATTGTCTCATCACTCTGCATGGTCATAATGTTAAATATTATGTAATTGTTGATTTTTTTATTTTTTATTTTTTTATTTTTATTTTTTTGTTAGCAAGGAACTCTGACAAACTCCCCAAGAGATTTCTGCAAATTTTCTCTAGCACAATCCTGCTACTGTCCCAGAAAGTTCTGTCCCCTGGCCTTCCAGATACTATTTTATGGAATAAATCATAAGTAGCTGGCTATATAAACAGCATTCTGGATCAAAGCCAAACAAGACACATTTGGATTTGCAATTTGCTCAGCCGCTGGATTCACACGACCCATTAAACTATTATTATTTTATTGTATTAAATTTAGAGGCCACCTGGCTGCAAGTGACTCTGGGCATCATGCCTTTTAAAAAGTAAGAACAATAAAATAAAGAGAGGAAATTGTGTATATCTGAAAAGAAAATACACAGTTTACAAAAAAAATAAAATAAAACTAACAGAGGCTCAACATTAAGGGAAGCAAGCTAGATTTTTAATGATCTTTAGAATGTCGATCAGGGTGGGAGCTATATGAATCTCTGGGAAGATATTTTTTCCAGAGGCCAATATTATGTCAAAAGACCTATTTCCTAGGTCCTGATAAATGAAAGTACTGTTTAATTGAAGGGATGTATAACACACCCACTGTGCCAGGCCTTACAGAAACTATTTGTGATAGGCACTCCTTCAAATAACCAGGTCTAATTCCACAAGCAGCTTTTTAGTCATTCATTTATTCATTCATTCAGTTTGTATACCCGCCCATCTCAAACGGGTGAATCTGTATACGGGATACACCAGAATTTTGAATTGCATCCTGAAAGCCAATAGGTGACCAGTGCAGGTCCTAAATTAGTGATGACCAGAGGGGGATGTCATGTTGTGTTCATCATTGCCTGCGCTGTCACAATCTGGACCAGCTATAACAAGGGTGTCAAACTCGGGGCCGCATCAGGGTTGTCTTTGACCTTGGGGGGCCAGGGTGAGAGAGCCAGCTCAACGTCACTCGTGTCAGGGGTGCCTGTGGCGGCCCAAGTGCTCTGCCAGCGAAAACGGGCTCCCAAGCTCCATTTTCGGCTGTGATGGACTCCTGCAACTCTCTGCCAGCAAAAATGGAGCTCGGGAGGGCTCCACGGGCTGGTCCTTCACTGTTTCCAGGATGGTCCCACAGGCCAGATCTAAGCACCCCACAGGCCAGATCTGGCCCCCGGACCTTGAGTTTAACACCCCTGAGTTATAACTTCCAAATGGTGCTCAAGGACAGCCCCATTGAAAGAGTATTGCAATACAGGGAGCCCTTGACTTTAAACCATTTGTTTACTGACTGTTCAAAGTTAACAACGGTGCTGAAAAAAGCGACTTATGGCCTTTTTTTTCACACTTGAAACCATTGCAGCATCCCCCTGGTGACATGATCCAAATTTGGATACTTGGCAATTGGCATGTATTGATGACGGTTGCAGTGTCCTAGGATCGTGTGGTCATCTTTTGCCATTTTCTGACAAGCCACATCAATGGGGAAGGC